GGTTTGTTGTTGTGTTGCTTTGTTTTATTTTTGTTTTTGTTTTTCTTTTATCATTTTGTATAATTCAGCTGTTTGGCTTTTGATTTTCTCTCTATCTGTGCCTAGGGATCAGTTTTTGGAGGCCTCCCCTTTTCCATGGTTTATTGTGCCAAAGGTTGCAGATTAATTAAAGTAGATTTTATTGCTAGTATGACTAGTATGGAGATCTCTTTAGTGTCTGTTTTCCAGTGATACAATCTAAGTGTGGTTAAATATAGACCCTTTTTCTCTGTCCTAAGATCCAACCACCTCCATTAATTTGGGAAGGGGAGGGTACAGTGTAATTGTCTCAGCAGTAGTTCTCTGGAAATGAACCACACAGTATTACTGATAACACAAAGACAATCCAGATACTGGTATACAGTAAAAACCAATCAATTCCAACAGCTATGCTACCTTGCCAGTGATAATGAATCAGCAATAATAATAGAATCAAGAACAAACTGGATATTGACATACCTACCGTAAGAACCAATAAAAGCTATCACTGAACCACCCCAACAGTAAAAAAGATCTACAATGATAATATAGACACAAAGACAAAGCAAACATTGACATACAGAAAATATCTACTAAATGTAGCAACTATGCCACCATTTATAATAGAATTCAGGGATTTAGCTCAGTGATACCATATCTGCCTCAAAAGCGCAAGGTCCTGAGTTTGATCCCTGGTACCAGGGAAAAAAAAGAAATATAATAGAATTCAACAACAATAGCAGAGTTAACTAAATACCTAAAGATTAACACAGTTTAATAGTAATACTAATAAAAATTAAGCAGGTGGGGAAAAGGAAAACAAGTAAAATTTGAAGAATAAAGGGAAATGAGAGAAAAGTAAAATAAAAAATCCTATTAAGGAATAAACAAAGAGCCGGGCATGTTGGCACACTCCTGTAATCCCAGCTCTTGGGAGGCTGAGGCAGGAGGATCGCTGTGAGTTCGAGACCATCCTGGGCCACATAGTGAGTTCCATGTCAGTCTCAACTACATAGGGAGACCCTGTCTCAAAAAATAAAAATAGATAAAAGCTACAAAAGAAAAAAAGATGAAAAGAAAAATAACCCAAACACCCCACAAAACAAGAGAGATGAATACAAAAAATTCCTTTGTGTTTTTGAATGAGTGGTTTCTTTCCAAGATCTGCAGTATTGGAATCTACAGATAATGGATGAGGGAATAAGTGAATCATTAGTCTCCAGGCTCACATTTTTAAGTGTGAATGATGAGTCCTGCCCTACTTTTCCTGCTGGGTGTGGCTGATCAATGGTGTCTGCCCTGCACTGTGTTCACCCAGCTGTTCCCAGTTTCCATGTCCTGGGTGCTTCAAGTCACTGCTTTATTTGCCTAGCTCTACAGCCTATAGATGTATGAGATGCATCCCTCCCCCAACCCCTGCCTGTTCAAGAGGCCGCACTGTCCATATACCTCAGACTGTCACCTATCCAGGTTGAGGCATACCCCTGATAATGTTTGCAGATGGGGAAAGCAAATAGACCACCTAATTTTGTGCTGGATGTAGATAGCAGGTTAGACATCAAACAGTCCAATTAATGCCAGCACTTTCAGACCTAACCCTTTCCAAAACCCACATAAAACCAGCCTGGCTTCTCAAATTGGACATGGGCAGGGCTTAAACTTCTCAGGGCATGTGTCTAGCCTTCACACTCTCCATGACTCTTGTGGCCTTCCCCTAGACACACTGAAGCTTTTTTTTTTTTTTTTTTTTTAAGATACGGTTTCACTATGCAGTTCAAATTGGCCTTAAATTTGCGGTAATCTCACCTGAGCCTCCTAAGTGCAGGAATTACAGGCATGTGCTACCAGGCCTAGCTTCTGCTGCTCAGTCTCTTAACCCCTTCCCAATATGTTTCCTGATTAAATGCTCAAATATGGCAGGCACCAACCACACTGGATTTCTTCAACTCCAGCCTGCCATGAAGAAGGTGTTAACTTTCAGAGTAAAATCCCACACTGTTTTTGTAGTTTACCATAACCATGGGAATTTCAAACTGCTTCATTCCTCCCTGTGTTGTGTTCAGTTTCCACCATTTTTCTGTGGTTTCTAATTTTCCTGTCGGCTCTTTCTGAATTTCCAGAAATCTTTCTTCACTAATTTGTTGTTTTCCAGATGTCACAATTCCAGGTCTGAGGCTTCATTTTGTATAGGTCTTTACAGTGCCATTTTTAATATCCAGTAGCATTTTACACAGCCCAACAAGCTCTAGGATTAAAATTTTCTAGAGTTGGTGGTTTCTGATAACATGAAACTTTTGAGGAAAGGGGTATACTAAATAATAAATAGTACTTCCATCAGTAGAGCTGCCCACAATTACGCCCAATTTGTAGGTCAAATAAATTTAAGAAAGTTTTCCGTATGTCATAAGCTTTTTGAAACTTTAAGGTACACTGTGAAGTACAGAAGGCTAACAGTGATGCATGTCTCAAAAAATACCCCATTAGAAAGTCCTGGTCCCTGTTCCCAGGGTGCTAGGTAGCTCAGCCTTGTGCAAGAAAAAGTTCTGAAGATCCTGCTTCTTCCTGGGTACCCTCAAACAACTTCAGCCACTCCATGTACTCTTATGAGAAAGAAGTGGTCAAAGACTCCATAGAAATGCTTCCCAGTTAATTTCCATCCCCTCCCGTGGAACCTACTAAAGCTGTTTGTCTGATTTATAAAGAATATTCTACCCACACAACTATAGAAAGATCCAGAACAAGAAACCCAAATGATGAAGATAAAAGTAAGACTTGGTGGAATGCAAGGTCAGGGTTTGACTTGAGAGTTGAGTCAGGCCAGGGCACTTGGTGACTAAAGCAGGATGATCCTCATCTATTTTGTGCTGAAAATTATTAATTAATAAGTTTATTTTGCAATTTCATTTAGAGGGCTGAAAAAAAACTGGGAAATACAACAAAACAAGTGAATACATCTAGAAGTAAACATTTTAATACTAATTTTTATAAAACAATAGAAAGTTTCAACTAGGGTGAGAGGACAGACATAGAATACTGGGTGCAGTATGAAACCACTCCATGATTGAGATAATGCATTTTAAAAGCACTATGGAAAACTGGGTAACCCAACCCTTTGAGTGGAAATGCACATCCCTACACTACACCAGAAAGAAGGACTGGTAACAGTTTAGCCTCAGAGTGGATCTACAGTCCCCAATAAGTCTACACTGCTTCCTGTTCTGACCTGATGCTCCTCATCGTACTTAACATTCCTTGAGACTACTTACTAGGACCAAATTTGCCATCCTCCTCCTCCCCTAGGTAAAAAGGTCCTGCCCCTCCAGCCTTTCCCCACTACTTTCAGACAAAGTAGGGCTGCGCCTAGTCTAGCCTCTATTTCTTTCTTTTTTCTTTTTTTTTCCAGCGTGTACACCTTTAATCCCACACCCTGCTTCACCCAGCACTGCTGCCTCTTCCTCCTGGCACCGCTCTCTGCGGGCTCCAGGCAAAGCGCTCAGTCAGGCGCCTCTGCAGCCGATCCCAGGCTCCGTCCACCTGCTGCTGGATGATGGGTGCCCATAAGTTGCTCAGCACCACGTGGCTCTGGCCCATCAGCTGCTGCCTGCTCATCTGCCTCTGCAGCCAGCTGTGGGTGGCCGCCTCGCTCAGCCCGTCCCTCTGCACAATTTCTTAGTACTGTGGATGGAAATCAGACCATGCACTTGCAAAACCACTGAGTTAAATCCCCAGCCCGGTTATTTTACTTTTGGAGAAAGACCAAGTATAAATCAGCCTAGGCTTACAAACCTAAATATGTATTGAGCTACTGTAGGATTTCATAAATACTTTTGTAGCCCTGACTTAGATACAACAAAGAAAGGCAGGACTGGATTCAACAGGGAAAGAATCCCAAAGTGTCATGCCATGAGAGTAATGGTCCTAACCACTACAGAGAAAAGCCACTGAGGGAGAGAGACAGGAGCTTTGTATGTGGAGATGGGATAGGGTGTCCACAAGACAAAGTGGGTCTAGAATCCCAGCAACTGTCACTTTCAGCCTAAGGACTTTCCTAGGAACCAGGCAATAAGTGGTTTAAGGAAAAAAGAAGCCCTGAGCTGGGGATTTAGCTCATTGGTGCTGCCGCTTGTCCTGTAAGCATAAGGTCTCAAGATCAACCACCGGTATCAAAAAAGAAAAAAAGCCCCTGGGCTTTTGGGATTTGGGATCAAACATAGTTTGAGTCCGGCCTCCATCACTTTACCAAATGGCTTCATCTTACTGAACATGTTTTCCTCATCTGCAGAAACAGTTACCCAAGTTCACATCGTGGTCACACTAATTTTGTGAAGAAATTTTTGTGAAATGTACCAGATGATTTTAAACTATTGATCATATATCTAAAACTTTCACAAAGACATTGCTACTTCGGAAGTCAATTCATCATTTTTTTTTTTTTAAGTGATGGCTGCCATACACTATCTTGTTTTAACAACTCCGGATGGGTGGCTAGTTTTATTAAAACACAGCTGGAGTTTAGCCTATTGGCACACGCCTGTACTGTAATCCCAACACTCCTGAGGCTTAAGCGGGATTAGAAATTCGAGGCCAGCCAGGGGTACGTGAGTTTTTAGCTCCTCCCGCGCCCCCAGAAAAGCCCACAACTGTCAGAAACGATACGATTGTTAGTTATTACTATTTTTTTCAGCTTTAATTGAGTTTATTGGTACATTTTAGGGATACAGTACAGTTACATTCATTGTTGGGATCTTGTACCTCTACATGACAAGAGTTGATTCTCATTTTTTCCCCTTACCCCTGCCCTCCCTTCACCCCCTCCTCCCCTCCCGATCTACAAACACTTTATTTCCATCTTTTCATTATCTCACATTTTTTTTTTTTCCCTTTTTAATCTTCCCCTACCCATCCCATCTTCCCTACACCTTTAGCTCCTTTCTTCCATATTAGGACCTTATGTATTATTGCAGATTATTCACACTAGAGAAACTATTCGGTATTTACACGTGTGACTTATGTATTTCACTTAGGAGTGCTATAAATGTTACTGTGATTCTGAGGGATTGTCCCACGGCTATCCCTCAAGGCCAGAACCATAGAACAGAACCAGCCCTGGACCGTCCCAAGGAGCCGCCCCGGGCTAGGCTCGCCCCTTGCCAGTGCTTGGCGATCAGGAGCGGTCCGTCAACCTGTCACTCACATCAAGACTCGGAAGTCCCGCCTGTCTGGAACTGAGCCAACAAGGCGGGGGTTACAGGTCAGGCAGTGACGTAACTCTCCGCTTTGGGTTAACCTCCGCGGGCGAAGTACCGATAGCCATTCGGGGACCACTAGCGGGCTACCCGGTCTGGCGACCTTGGAAATGACATGAGGTCAGTTAGCTACGTGCAGCGTGCTGTGATGGAGTTTAGTGGGAGCCTCTTCCCGCACGCCATCTGCCTTGGGGACGTGGATAACGACTCGGTGAGTGCATGCGCAGCGGGGATGATGGAGTGCCTGCGCCGCGAGGGGCGCCTCTGCGGTGTACGCATGCGCGGAGGCTGTGGCAGCATGGCGCGCTCTGGAGAGGAGCTGTGTTTGTTGCTGCAGTGACGGGTATTGCCTGGGGTCTCAGTTGGCTTTGTGCCCTGGGAGTATTTTTTTTAGAAGGATAAACGATTGATCCTTTTGCCTCATTCCCTAGTTTGCAGTAGTAGAAACCTGGTACACACTGGTAGGCAAGTGTCTTGAGTCGCTGTTTCTGATTAGACCTGCCCAGTGGCATCACCTTTCAAATCACTTTACCTTTCGCCTCTAAGCTAGAAAAAAGCCCATGGCTTCGCGCCTGGGAAGACCTCTGGGCCCTTCCTACGTGAGGGACTCAAAGGTTCGCACCGTCTGCAGTACCTGCCCAGTGTAAATTAATTCGGAATAGGCAGGTGAAACACTGAGCCCCCACCCCCACCCCAGCGCTCTGCACCCGAGATTCAGTCACCCTGGAGCGAGAAGTTCTGTATTTGAAGGAAATAAATATTGGACCTGTATTGAGTATGTACAATTTTTTCCTTGTGATTATTCCTTGAAAATACAATCCAACAACCACGAGTATGTATTACTTAAAGGTATAAGGAATGTGTAGTTAAGTGGTTTTGTTTTTATACTAACAAAACTAGTGTGTTTACAAAAACTCAAAGCTGTATGGTGTATACCTTCATATATATTGTCCACCATTGACCAAATTATGGGCAGTACATGACTATTTACAGAGAACTCCAACAATGTCGTAAAGTTTATGGGAAGATATGCATAAATTATGTGTAAAACCTACTGTGCCATTTTATATGTTACTTGACCATTGTTGGATTTTGGAATTTATGGGGGCCCTGGAACCAGTCTCCCACAGACACAGAGCAACATCTGCAGATTATACTACTCTAACTTTTTTAATTGAAGATTGAACCTGGAGCCTCTATATCCTCTACATCTATATACATCTACAGCCCCTTTGATTTATATTTCTGAGACAGTGTCTCACTAAATTACGCAGACTGGGCTTGAACTTGAAATCTTTCTGCCTCCGCTGCCCAGGGTGCTGGGATTATAGGCTTGCACCAACATACCCAGCTTGGGAATTTTTTGAACCTATTTTTTCACCATTATAGTTCCAACATTTGAAATAGTCCCTGGGCACATAATTGTCACCCAGTAAATATTTTTTATTAAATATTACTTTAAAAAGCAAATGTGAAAAAAACATTTTAGGCTAGGATGTGCCTCAGTGGTAGGTCATTTGGCTAGAATGTATGACCCTAGGTTTGATCTCCAGTATCACAAAAAAGGAAAAAGGGAAGATGGGGGTAAGGGAAAGAAGGAAGGAATGGAAGAGGGAAGAGAAAAGAAGGAAAAAATAAAACCAGGAGTAGTGGTGTACACCTGTAATCCCAACACTGTGGGATGCAGAGGCAGCAGGACTTCAAGTTGGAGCCCAACCTGGGCAATTTAGTAATTTAGCAAGACTTCATCTCTAATAAAATCTGGGGATTGCTGGGGATGTAGCTCAGTGAAAAGGCCCTGGGTTCAATTCCTAAGACCACGAAAAAAAGAAAAAGTGACTTTCTGCTTCAAAGCAACTGGAAGTGCTGGGCATGGTGGCGTACATCTGTAATCACGAAAAAAAGAAAAAGTGACTTTCTGCTTCAAAGCAACTGGAAGTGCTGGGCATGGTGGCGTACATCTGTAATCACGAAAAAAAGAAAAAGTGACTTTTTGCTTCAAAGCAACTGGAAGTGTTGGGCATGGTGGCGTACATCTGTAATCCCAGTACTTGGGAGGCTGAGGTAGGATTCCTGTGAGCATGAGACTATCCTGAACTGCAGTGAAAGACCCTGTCTCAAAAAGCCAGGAAGGAAAAAAAAACTAGAAGAGCTTTGCCCGTTACTAGTGAGTATAACTCAGAATCAAGTAGCTTAGAGAACTGTTACATGATAAGGCGCAGCAAGCACACTTGAACCATCTGAGTACTGATAGAAGTTTTGTTAGGGGCTAAGTGTGTAGCCAAGTGGTAGAGTGCACTGGGTTCAGTCCCCATCACCACTAAAGAGAAACTGGGTTAGTGGTTCCCAAAACCATTATTTGGAGATTTGGGGGCAAGAAAAAGACTGATTTTGTCATAAAGAAACCTATCTTATAGCTGTTTGAAATGAATTATTTCCTGTAAGACTGAGGGACTGTAGGACTGCCTACTGAGGCCTGGCTGCAATAGGCACAGCAAGCCTTTTGAAGGCCCAAGCAGGACATAGAAAGAGCTCACCTTACTTGTGTAGCATTGCTGTTGAGTGATGTGCCCTTGTGGTCAAAGCCAAGCTCAGCTACAGGGAAGCCAGTCTTGTGGGCAGCGCCACACTCTGCCTGACTGAGCCACATCTTTTCACTCACTGCAGCTGATCCACATGGAGTGTCTGACAGATTCCAGGCCGAGCAGAGTTCACATCCACTTGTAAAAGAAAAAGCAGCTGCATAATTGAAGACATGCTCAGAACAGGTCTATGCCAACAAAGACAAAAAGGGTGGCACGAACAGAGAAGTGGTGTCAGGACAACAGGAAAATAAAAGGCACACAAGCAAATCAGGCTTTCAGATTTTAAAAGATGTGCACCTCAGTCCAAGTGCCTCTCACTGGGTCTCAATACAATTGACAAGAATCATTGAAAGGGTGCTGAAATATTGTGGGATTTCAGCGTACAGCCCTGTCCCAGAATCCACTCTGACTATGCATTCCGTGTGAGTGTGTGTGTGTGTGTGAACCTTTCACATGGTGTAAGTGGGGAAAGGAGCTCTAACATGCATGTACTCTGGCCCTGGAGCTTTAGACATTTCCTGAATCTTTGTTACTTTATTTTTTGATTCTCTCAGGAGGATTGGCCCTGGGGCATTGCCCAAATTCTTGTGTAGACAGGGAGTGGTCTCCCAGCCCCAATTATGCTACCTATAGCACATCTACCACATTTATTGTAGTAGGGTGGGATATATGCACTACTCCTCATCTGGAACAGGCAATTGTGATTGTAAGCTCTCAGCTTCAGCAATGAAGGAGAGTTTAAAATAAAAGAAGATGGCTTATTTGGGAAAAGATGGAAAAAAAATATAGCTTGGAGAGTAGGAGGCATCAGAAGTGAATGCCCCTGAGCTCTTGTCCCCGGCTCCTTTTATTTAGGACTAGCAATTTTCCCATCCCCTATGTGGACACCTAGAAGTTATCATCTGATTGGCTATCTTGGCTGTCTTTGTTCCTGACCTGGGCACATCTGCCTGTGTTCTTCCAGTCCCTTTGTGATAGATAACGGGGTGGAGGGGAGGCTTGTAGGAAGGTAGCTTAGACTTAATGGTTAAGTAAAGGGGTATGTGTGTATCTAATACAATAATATAGAGATGTTATAGTGAGAACATGCATACATATGTATGTGTGTGTGCATACTTATGTTTCATACTAAATAAGAGTCCTTAGGTGGCTGCCCCTTATTTCCTTTGCATTTATCAGGTTGGTGAGGGGAACTGATTTTCATAATCCCCCACACCCACACACATCAGGGATCGAACTCAGGACTTGCCAGGCAGGCATGGTGCCACTGAGCTACATCCCCGTAACCTTTTGCTTCTGGCTTCCTTGTGTTTTGTTAACTCTTCGTGACAATAGTGTTACCTAGCACCTCTCTCAGTCTAATTTCTCTCTCCTTTGTCTTTCTAATTGCGCTAACTGTAGAGTCTACCTGTACCGGGTAGGAGCTGCTTTCAGTAAGTTTCCCTGTTAAATTTTTTTTTTTCCAGTTCTGGTGATGGAACTCAGGACCTTACGCTTGCAAGGCAGGCACAGTGCCACTGAACTAAATGCCTGGCCCTACAATGCTTTCATTTGTTTGTTTGGTACCAGGGATCAAACTCAGGCCCTTGTACTTGTCAGGCAGAGGCACAGTGCCACTGAGCTAAATCCCTGGCCCTCCTTGTTAATTTTTTTTTTTTTTTTTTTTTTTTTTTTTTTTTTTTTTTTGGTTTTGAGACAGGGTCTCACTATGTAATTGAGACTGACCTGGAACTCACTATGTAGCACAGGCTGGTCTCGAACTCACAGCGATCCTCCTACCTGAGCCTCCCGAGTGCTGGGATTACAGGCGTGCACCACCACGCCTGGCTCCTCCTTGTTAATTTTTGATAAAGCCTATCTTTCCCTGCCTAGATGCTACCTTTTCCTACTCTCTTGTGATTTTCTTCCTGCCTCTCTGCTCTGTGCTCTGGGAAATTGTTCCCAGCAGGAAGTCTGTGCATTTTATCTTTCTACTTAACTGGCTATCCAGATTTATCTAAAAACTCCAGGATAGGCTGAGCATTCTCTTTTATTCTAATTTTTCCTTGTTTGTATTTTTTCATTTTTTAAAATCTCAGAGCTGGGCATGCATGCCTGTAAGCCCATGTACTAGGAAGGCTGAAGAAGGAAGATCAAAAATTAGAGGCCAGCCTGGGCAATTTAGCAAGACCCTGTCTCAAGTAAAAGAATAAAAAGAGCTGGCCAGGGATTTAGCTTAATGGTTCCACCGCCTGCCTTGCAAGCACAAGGGCCCAAGTTCGATCCCCGATACCAAAAAAAAAAAAGAGCTAAGGATGTAGCTCAGTGGTAGAGCACCCCAGGTTCAATCCAAAGCACCACAAAAGAAAAGAAAAGAACAATCCAGGCATGGTGGTGCACACATAATAATCCCAGTACTCAGGAGGCTGAAGCAGGAGGATCACAGTGAGTTTGAAGGAAGCCTGGTCTACTTAGTGTGTTCAAGGCCAGCCTGAACTACATAGGAAGACCTTGTCTCTGAAAAAAATTTTTAGTAATGCTTTATTATTTATTTATTAAACATTTTCTGAGAACCTACTTGTGTGTTTTAGCATTTGTTGAATGAAGGTGTAAAAAATGGATTGTAGAAAACATGCTTAGTTCTCTG